AAGTAAGCCAGGCTATGAAAGAAAGATATTGTATGTATCCACTTAAATATATACTGACTATCCACACTCTATGGTAGAGACCAAAATATTGGAGGACATAAAAGCAGTAAAGTACTTAAAGAGAATAAGGCAGTGTGAAATAGCGGGGTGAAGAGAAGAGGATAGAGAAAGATAGCCAGAGAACAAATAGAGAGGCAGGACATTAGTGGGAAACAGATACGGCTTATTACCTGTTGATGAAGACATGTATAGTATTCTCAACTGGATTGGTCTGAGAAGTATTTCATGATGGGTAAAGTTTTTTTACAAGCAAAATGAGAAATAGTGATTGACTGTTTAAAAAAACAATTGGAATAATAATAATAATGATTGGGAAAAACAAGGAAAAGATACTGAATGATGAAGTGGGGAGGTTAATGTCTCTGTATTGACATGCATGGCATTCCCTTTTGAAAAAGCAATGTAATGGGACCAGCAGTTAGCGTAATGGCTATGTCGCTGGACTCCCATGTAGTCGACTGCGGTTCACGTCCTGGACCTGGTGGCTTAAACTCACACTGGGCATGTGTCCGTGCATGCCCAAGATCCCGAGAGGAGAATGGAGGAGAAGGGATTGCGGCCGTGGCCATCCCCCTGGGGGGTGTCGCTTCGCTTTCTGTCTCTCTGTCTCTGATGAGCGCACGCGCCCTATAGCAAAACCTCTCAAAAAAAAAAGAAAAGAAAAAGCAATGTAATACACTGTATAGTTATATGCAATCCAATGTGATATAAACAAGATTATGATGATAATAAAGAAAAATAAATAATTTAAAAACAAAACAAAACACGGGACCAGCAGGTGGCGTAATGGTTAAGGTGCTGGATGCTCCCACATGGCTGACTATGGTTTGAGTCCCAGACCTGGTGGCTTGCTTTCTCACTTTCCCTCTTTCTCTCTCTCTCTCTCTCTAGTCAAATGAAAATAAATGAATAAATAAAATTAAATAAAATAATTTAAAAACAAACAAAATAATAATAAAATTAAACAAAATTTTAAAAATAGTAAATACAGCATTCTACCTGGAAAAGGTCTGTCTTCATCACCATGCAGAGGAACACCCTTATTTTCTGGCATGTACTTCTTGGTAATGGGCAAGGACATCAACCGAATGTGATGGATGAGTGAGCGCCACGTGTGAGCTCCAGAAAGCACTGGCTCCGGTGCTAGTGGGCTGAAGGGCTGAATCACAAAGTAGGCCGTGAGCAAGATCAATCCCAGGGTTATGAGGACCTACAAAGACAGACATGGAAAGGATTAATGATGGTCCCAGCAAACAAAAAACCTTAATGCCAGGAAAAAACAGACCTCTTCATTTCCAGTGCTCCTGAACAACTAACCCTTTATCAGAAACAAGCAATTTACACTCACTTCTGAAAGCATTTAAAATGTGAGAACTGTGAGTACCGCAAGGCTTATCAAGCGTCTATCATATAATCAGGGGCTATGTGCACCATGAAGAAACACACATAAATACAATTTAAGCATTAATACACAGCTTTTGTCTATGACATTTAATAACAGAACAGATTTCCTAGTAACACAAAAAGCAAAGGCCAGTTTACTCACAGAAAAACCAAGGCTCAATGGTGGAGTCTGTCAACAACAACATACAGGAAGAATGCTGAAGAGTTTGTGTTCCAAGCAGTTTCCAAGTCAGAACACATGTTTACCTTATACACAGCTATTAGGAGAGGGTACTGGGGTGGCCCCCTCTGAGGTTCATTCTTTTCCAGCAGTTGTCTGATAAATTTTTCAATGGCCTTTTCTGACATGCCACACTGATGGCCTGTTTGTCTCACCAAGTCAACCGTCTCCGCAAGTTTGTCATAAATGCTGAGCTCATTGGCAGCAAGATCCATGTCTTCCAAAACAAAATCCCTGAGAGAAGGAAAATAAACGTGAAAAGACAATTTCTTTACAGTATCTCCTCCTCAACGCTACTTCCTCCAGAACAGTGTTTCCTAACCAATCGTGGGGAAAGACCAGTTTTATGACAATGAATGTATCAAGAAGACGTCAAGCTGCTGTGTAAGCTTTTAAAGGTTACTTTATTGTGGGCTGGCACCAGTTTACAGATCAGCACTTTGAGGAGCATGGCGTGGAGCACTGTCAATCCCTAATAGGACCCTGGAGCACTAATGATATCCAGTAAGATTTCTGAAACTAATCATCAGATCTACTTCCGGTAAGGTACTAAAATAAATGGAATGTGGACAGTGTTGTTAGTCAATGAGTTCTTTCCAAATATACCAGACAACCCTTTTTGCAAGACAAGAGTAGGAACTGACCACGGAAGGTGCAATTAACTGCAAAGAAAATACCCATAAAGTTTGTTCCTGGTAGAGTAAGGATCTCAGACAATGCAAAAACCATGGCACGGGAGCTCTTCAGACCTCGCAGCTTCCGGTCCTCATGCTTTTCCACAAATACAATTTTAGATAATAAACATTCTCTCTGTGTTTTATAAAGTTAAAAGACCTATGATCTATTACTAGTTTCAACATTCAGCCTGTCTTCTCATTTCAAAGTCAGCTTGGTTCACAGCGGACAGGAAGATGAACACTGAAGTGCAAAGTAGAGCTCCCTCTGTACCATTTGTAAAAGAAATAGCTCTTTTCAAAAATGCTTGTGTGGGCTTTCAGGTGGCACAGAGGCCGGGCAGCTGACGGCCAACTGCACGTTTGATTCCCAAAGTGGAGGTTTGAGAAAACACTGGGTACATGTGCATGCGCGTGGCCCAAATCCCAAGAGGAGAATGGAGAAGGGACTGCTATGTGGCCATCCTCCCACCCCAGGGTTGCCAGGTGTGGTTTCTCACTTTCTCTTTATCCACCAACCTCCACGAGCACCCTAGAGCAAAACTAAACAAATGAAACAAAAGATGCTTGAATGCCTCCGTTTCGGAACAGCATTTTTCTTTATATACAGGAGGAAGACCAGTGGTTAGGGGGTTACGGTCTCTTTGGCTGGGCTTGTGTGTTTTTGAACGCTCAGGGTCCTCTTACTTCACATACTTCATTCCCGAAGTGCTTCTAACCTCAAAAAGCACGAACATGGTACACACGTGTATGCTTTTAGTAAGGAGATGCTGCCCTCTGTAGGGTAGAGGACAAGTTAGGTCACTCCAGCAGAGAAAAGGATACTGAAATGCCACAACCCAGCACACACGTCGCCCTATTTCTTCCTCCAGCAGTGTACCTCCCGACAGCTCCCTGTCTGGTCCTCTGTGTGACTACTAAATGTTCATTAGGTCTTAACCCAGCCTGCACATTAGAATCACCTGCAGAGCTTTCAGTAAGTGCTCATGTTCCGGCCCCAACACAGACCAATTAAATCAGAACACACTTCTAATGGCTGATTAACAGACATGGAATCAGACTTGAAGGAACTGAGGAAAGGGGAGAAGGGAAGAACTATCCACACTAAAAGGGGTGTGTGTGTGTGTGTGTGTGTGTGTGTGTATTATTTTTTTAAGAGAGATTTTGTGCTATAAGGCGTGTGTGCTTGACAGAGAGACAGAAAGGGAGAAATCACCCCCCCTGAAGGGGAATAGCCATGCCACAATCCCTCCTTCTCTTGGGATTTTGGGCATGTACACACACACACCTGGTGTGAGTTTTAAGCCGCTGGCCCTGGGATTCGAACTGTGGTTGACATAATCACCACGCCATCTGCTGGTCCCAAAAGGGGTATATTTTTTTTCTCAATTCTATGCTCTTGCTCAAAGTGTTTTTCTTTCTTTTTTTTTTAAAGAATTATTTAACTTTTACTTATTCGTTCACTTATTTTACCAGAGAGAGCTATGGTAAGGGGGGGCAGGCTTTATGAGAAAGCAAGCCACCAGGTCCAGGACTTGAACTGTGGTTAGCCATGTGGGAGTGTCCAGCGCCTTAACCACCACACCACCTGCTAGTCACTTTTTTTTTTAAATTATTTTATTTAACTTTCTTCTCTCTCTCTTCCCCTTTCCTTTCCTTTCCTCTCCTCTCCTCTCTTTCTTTTAATTTTTTTTTTTTGGAGAGGTTTTTGCTATAGGGTGCGTGTGCTCGCCCGAGAGACAGAGAGAGACAGAGAGACAGAAAGCAGAAAGCGAGAAATCACTCCTCAGGGGGGATGGCCACGCTGCAATCCCTTCTCTGTTTTCCTCTCGGGATCTTGGGCATGCATGCACACGCGCCCAGCTTGAGTTTTAAACCACTGGGTCCGAGACACGAACCGCAGTCGACTACATGGGAGTCCAGCGACATAGCCATTACGCTAACTGCTGGTCCCTCCTCTCTTTCTTTTAATTTGACCAGAGTGTGAGGGGGGGGAGAGGAAGTGAGAAAGCAAGCTGCTCTGGGACTCAAACCGTAGCTGGCCACATGGGAGTCCAGCCCCTTAACCACCACGCCATCTGCCTGCCTCATCAAAATGTTTTTCTTAAGACCATAGAAGCCTTCATTTCAAGATTCAGGTAGAAGAATGGCACAGAATCTATTTATTTTGCCAGAGGGGATGTGTGCTCACCAAAAAAAGAAATAGAGAGGGAGGAAGAAAGTACCCCCCACAATGGGGTGTGGTATGTTGTAATCCCTTCTCCTCTATTTCTTTATCCCATCAGAATTTGGCACATGCACACATATGTGCCTGATGTGTTTTTCAAGCTGCAAGGTTAGGAAATGAATCACTGTCAGCTACATTGGCTCTGGTTACCTTAACCACTGACCTTGTGCAAACTCCATTTAAAGATGTGTATTTTCAATAAGTATTGTTGGGACAATATTTATTTATTTATTTTTAGTATCTTTTTTTTTTTTTTGGAGAGGTTTTCGCTATAGGCATGTGCACTCACCAGAAAGACAGAGCGAGACAGAGAGATAGAAAGCGAGAAATCATCCCCCGGGGGGATGGCCACACCACAATCCCTTCTCGTCCATTCTCCTCTTGAGATCCTGGGCACACATGCACACGTGCCTGGTGTGAGTTTAAGCCACCGGGTCCAGGACTTGAACCATGGTCGACTATGTGGGAGTCCAGTGACATAGCCATTACGCTAACTGCTGGTCCCTGTATTTATATTTTTCACATGTAAAAATATAATAAAGTTGGACCCTTCTTTATACAAAAGATGAAGTTAAAGTGGACCAGACCTAAATTTGTCAGCTAAAAGTAAAATACTTGCAGAAGAAAATACAAAGAGAAACCTTCCTGACTTTGCATTAGACAATGACTTCTTAAATGTGACACTAAAAGCATGAACAGCAAAAGAAAAAGTAAAGATTTTATTAAAGTGAAAAGCCCCTGTAACGGTTATGTCACTGGACTCCCACATAGTTGACCATGGTTCGAGTCCTGGACCTGGCAGCTTAAGCTCACGCTGGGCACATGTACATACGTGCCGAAGATCCTAAGAAGGAAACGGAGAAAGGATTGCGGTGTGGACATTCCCCCTGGGGCGAGGGAAAGGTGATTTCTTGCTTTCTGTCTCTGTCTCTCTCTCTCTCTTTCCAGTGAGCGCATGCACTCTATAGAAAAAAACCTCTTTAAAAAAAAATTAGAAGTTAAAAACTCTTGTGCTGCAAATAATAGCACCAAGAAAGTGAAAAGACAACTCACAGCACAAGAGAACAGATCTGCATGCTGTGCATCTGATGAAGGGCTGGCAGCTGGAATCATAAAGAATTCTCACAAATCAATAATAAAACAAATAACCCAATTTGAAAAAAAAATGGATAAAGTATAGCCATTTCATAAAAAAAGATATACAAATGGCCAAGAAACACATAAAAAGAAGCTCAATATCATTAGCTATCAGAGAAAAGCAGATCGGAACCACAATGACAAGATTGGGCGGGTTCAGGGTGGTATTAAATACCACTTCACATCCACTGGAACAACACAGATCAGAAAGGCAGATAATAAATGTTGACAAGTACAAGGAGCGACTGAAACCCGTATGCTGCTAGTGGGAATGTAAAATGGTGCAGCCACTGTGGAAAAGTTGTGTAGTTCCTCAAAAAAAAAATCAGAGTTACCACGTGACCCTACAATTCTACTCCGTGGTATGTACCCAAGGAAGCTAAAAACTTACGTCCACATAAAAACATATACGTGAGGGCCAGCAGGTGGCATGGAGGTTAAGGTGCTGGATCCCACATGGCCAGCTGAGCAGTTTTAGTCCCAGACCCAGCAGCTCGAGGATCACACCAGGTGGGCGTGTGTGCGAGCATACCTGGAATCTCAAGAGACGGGAGAAGGCACCGCAGCACAGCCATTCGGATATTTCTCACTCTCTCTCTCTTTCTCTCTGGTGAGCACATGCACTTTAAAGCAAAACACTAAAAGACAAACAAACCAAGACTAGCATTTGGCATAACGGCTATGTCGCTGGACTCCCATGTAGTTGACTGCGGTTCGAGTCCTGGACCCAGTGGCTTAAACTCACGCCAGGCGTGTATGCATGAGTGCCCAAGATTCCTAGGGGAGAATGGAGGAAAGGGGATTGCGGCATGGCCATCCCCCTGGGGGGTGATTTCTTTCTTTCTGTCTCTCTGTCTCTGTCTTTCTGGCGAGCACATGTGCCCTACAGCAAAAACCTCTCCAAAAAAACAAAACAAACAAAAGACAAACAAACCAGATTATTCATAATAGCAGTAAAATAAAAGTAACTCAAGTGTACATGAACTTAATGGATAAAGCGATATAACCATATAATGCACTCACTATTATCTAATAAAAAGAAATACAGCACTAATACTAGCTCAACATGGATGAACCTTGAAAACATTATGTTAAGTGAAAGAAGTTAGTCACAAAAGACTACATATTATATGATTATGCAAATATTAAAAAAAAAAAATCAGGGCCAGCAGGTGGTATGGTGGTTAAGGTGGACTCCCAAATGGCCAGTTGCAGTCTGAGTCCCGAACCTGGTGGCTTGCTTTCTCACTTTCCCTCTCTCTCTCCTGTTTCTCTCTGGTGAGCACACATGCCCTATAGCAAATTTGAAAAAGAATAATAATAAAGTTAAATAAGTAACTTTTAAAAATCAAGAATAGGCAATTCTACAGAAAGTAGATTAACTGGCAGTTGCCTAGGAGAAAGAGTGGAGAGAAGTAACTGTTAATATTCAGGGTTGGCCCAGACATGGAAACATATACAGGTAGATGCTGCCACTCGACAGGCTGAAGCCAGCACAAGAGGCCCAGATCGCATTCCTAGTGTGCCCTAGAAAGCCGGGTGTGCGACCAGCAGGTGGCGTAAGGATTCCGTCACTGGACTCCCAACAGAGTCCATCACAGTTCTACTGTGTGTGCCCCCAAAATTCTAACAAGAGGGAGAAATGGAGGGAAAGGGATTGTGGCATGATCATGCCCCCCATCGGGAGATGCTTTCTAGCTTTCCTTCTCTCTCTCTCCAGCAAGTACATGCACCCTTTGAGGAAAAAAAGAAAGAAAGAAAAGAAGCCATACTAGCAAGGAAAAAAAAAAAAAAAAAAAAAAAAAAAAAACCACAAAAAACAAATTAATATGTTGTCTCTCCAATTAAAATAAGTCAGGAGTATGGGCCGCTGGTGGCATGGTGGTTGGGGCAGCTGGATCCCACGTGGCCGACTGCACAGTTCATGTCCTAGATCCAGCAGCTTAGAAGGCACATGGGCACCTGTCCATGCAATCCAGAAATGAGAGAGGAGAGAGGACTGTGGTCACTATCCCCGAGGAGCGCTTTCTCACCCCTGCCCGTTTCTCCCAGACTCGCGCCTGTGCCTGTGGCAAATTATGAAAAGAAAGAAACATAAATAAATAAAGCTAGGAGGACACGATCTCTAGGAGATAAAATTATAGCTGGCTGTTATTTTCTTTGTGCTCTTCCACATTCTCCAAACTTTTCCTGTATTAATTCTGTACTCACAAAATTCCATAACTTCTCTGATTTTGTTTTTTTTTCTTAATTTGCTGTAGGGCACATGCGCTCTCCTGGCAGAGACAGACAGACCGAGAGAAAGAGAGTGAGAACGCACCCCCTACAGGGCTTGCCATGCTGTAATCCTTTTTCCTCTATTATCATCTCAGGATTTGGGCATCCGCACACATGCATGTGTTTTATTTGTTAGTTTGTTTTCAAGCCACTGGGTCTGGAACTCGAGCTACACAATTGGCCATGTGGGATCAGCCGCCTTAACCACCATGCCACCGGTTGCCCCCCTCCCCCAGCTACCTTTAAATATTACTGGGTTCGAAGTGAGTCTGAGACATGCAGTTGTGGATGGTCACGGCACACAGGGAGGAAGTCAGGCAGTATCTGCTACTCTCACTGGGAAGGACTTTTTGGTTCTCCATAGGGTTGTATTTGATATGTCCCAGTTGGAAAAAATGGAAGGAGCACTAAATTGGAGAGGCCAGAGTTTTCATCCAAGCTCTGCCAATTACCAATGAAATGATTTTGGCTGTCACTTGATTTCCTCACCTCCCAAAATCGATGACTGGCCTTTAAAGTTTTCTGGAGCCCTAAGATCAAATGTATGAACAATTTTGGAAGTGAAAAAAAATTCGACACATTAGAAGCTAAATATTCATGTCCAACTGTACTCCTGTATTAGCACTTCCGGTTACCTCCCTGTGTCCCAGGTGCTGTGCTAAGAACTCTAGAAACATCTTAGTGAATCATGACCAGAACCCCAGAAGGTAGGTATGATTAATCCATCTCGCAAGTTCAAGTTCACAGAGGTCTCTAAGGCTCAGGAAGATTTCTAACTTGCCAGAGTGTGAACTTGAGGGCCTGTGCTTTTAACCTCCCTTAAGTAACGGGGAGGCTGCCTCCCCAACATGTGCCCCTTTATTAGCACCACTGAGCAGCTGAGAACTGAAACCTGACTGGCTATGATGATTCCTTCAGGAAGAATTCAGTGATAACTTACAATATTTTTTCACATCTTGGTTTTGTAACCAGTAATATCAAAGATAGCATTTTCCTGTTTAATAAAGACATTCTAAGAAAGCAAACAAAGATAATGTCCATTTAAATATACTGCAATAAGTCATCTAATAATATCTAGTAAAAAATCCATTAAAACTCTGCAGAGAATCAGAAAGGAAAGACTCTGGAAAGGAATTCTAGAACAAATTCCTTTTGGGGAAAAAAAAAGTTTAAGTATGCATGTTGGGAAGTAGGGGCACATGCGGGTATCTCAGGGGCAGGAGAAAACATCACATTCATGTCCTCTTCAGAGAACCGTGAAGGGGATATGGGACAGGTTAAGTCAAAAGGAAGACCAACAATCATCAATTTTGCATGACTGCTTTGCAACCTTTGTAAACCTCTGCAATAAAATAGCAATAAAAATCTCACTGAACTCGTTTGTAATGCAAAAGCAACAGGGTTTGGTTTTGTTTTCTCTTTTGGTTATTTAACTATACAATGATACCCTAACACTGAATAGTGTTCGATCCTTCTCAGGGATTGTGACACACTTTCCAGTCACTGGAAAGGTAGTTACTAGTAATTTGGTGACATTTCTTTAAAAAAAAAGTATGATTTTATTTATTATCAGTATTTTAAAAATGTGACTAGAGAGAGAGAGAAAGGGAAAGTGAGAAACCAGGTCACCAGGTATGGGACTCAAACCGTGGTCAGCCATGTGGGAGTCCAGTGCCCTAACCGGCTGCCATCTGCCAGCCCCAATTTGGTGACAGAGTTTAGTACTAAGTCCTCCTCCTGGCGTGGTTAGATCAGTGGTGGTAAACCACAGGGGCTTCTGCTCCCCCAGGAGACATATGGGATGTTTGTAGACATTTCCGATGGTCACAGTGGGATCCAATTGGCATCTAGCTGGATATGTTAAACAACAATGAAAATCTAGTCCCTTAAAAACAAACAAACAAAAAACAAACACAAAGTCACAGCTAAGGATCACAGATGAGATTCAGTGAAATCAGATGAGGCTTGATGGCATTCCATTTACCTCCAGGAAGGAAGCTCCTACTCTCGCCACAGGAGGAGGTTCAGAAGAGTGAGCCTGTCTCCGACAGCAGCTCAGCCCTGTAAGGGCACAGGCAGGGTCACTGTGGAGTTGTAAAAGTCACGGTACCAAGCGCCACCCTGGACACACTGAACTGCCTGAACCTGCGGGAGAGGAGCCCGGTGCAGCGGTTTTCAACCTTTTCCCTGATGACTGAAAGCACTCTCCCAGTTGAGAAACTGCTCTAAGAACAGTAGTTCCCAGCTAGGGGTGATTCTGCTTCTTTGACAATGTCTGAAGACTTTTTATTTATTTATTTTTAAGGTTTTTGTTGTGGAGTGCATGCACTCACCACAGAGAGACAGAGAGAAAGTGAGAAGGCCAGCAGATGGCAGAGGTCACATCGCTGGACTCCCACATAGCCGACTGTTGTTTGAGTTCCAGACCCAGTGGCTTGAAAATCACATTGGGCGTGTGTGTGTGTGCATGCCCAAGTTCCTTGGAGGAAAATGGAGGAAAAGAGATTGTGGTGTAGCCATTGTCCCTGAAGGGTGATTTCTCACTTTATCTCTCCTCACTGTCTCTTTCTCCCTCTCTGGCAAGCACACACGCCCTAAGGTGAAACCTCTAAGAGAAAGAGAGAGAAGGTTAGAAATCACTCCCCCTAGGGGGAATGGCCACACCACAATCCCTTCTCCATTCTCCTCTCAGGATTTTGGGCATGCATGCACATGCACACATACATACACACACACACACACACACACACACACACACACACACACACACATATATATATATATATATACACACACACACACACATACACACACACAGTGATTTTTCTTTTTTGGAGAGATTTTTGCTATAGGGCACATGTGCTCGCCAGACAGACAGAGAGAGACGGAGAGACAGAAAGTGAGAAATCAACCCCCAGGGGGGACGGTCACGCCGCAATCCCTTCTCCTCCATTCTCCTCTCGGGATCTTGGGCACGCACGCACATGCACCCGGTGTGAGTTTTAAGCCACCGGGTCTGGGACGTGAACTGTGGTCAACTACATGGGAGTCCAGTGACATAGCCATTACGCTAACTGCTGGTCCCCACACAGTGATTTTTCAAGCCACTAGGTATAGGACTCAAACCACAGTTAGTCATATGGTAATCTAGCACCTTAACCACTAGGCTGCCTGTTGGCCTCCTGAAGACTATTTTTTTAAAAATAATAATTTTTTACTTAATTTTACTTATTTATTTTCAATTTGGTCAGAGAGGGACAGAGGGGGTAGGAGGGAAGAGAGAAAGCAAGCCATGATTGCTTTGTTCTACTGTCGGCCATGTGGGAGTCTAGTGACCCTAACCACGCCAACTGCCGTCCCCTGAAGACATTTTTGATGGTCAAAATTGGAGGGATAATGGGACCAGCGGTTGGCATAATGGCTATGTCACTGGACTCTCATGTAGTTGATTGCGGTTCGAGTCCCAGACCCAATGCCTTAAATTCATGGCAGGTGCGTGTGCTTGCATGCCCGAGATCCTGAGAGGAGAATGGAGAAGAAACTGCAGCATGGCCATCCCCCCTGGGGGGTGATTTCTCACTTTCTGTTTGTCTCTCTCTGTCTTTCTGGTGAGTGCACACATCCTATAGCAAAAACCTCTCAAAAAAACACATAAAAACTGGAGGGATACTACTGGCATCTAGTGGGTCAAGACTAAATGTCCTACAATGCACAGGCCAGTCCCCTACAACACTGAATATCCTGGTCCAAATACTAAAAGTGCTGAGGTTTGGAAAATCCTGCTTTCAGGAGAGGCCTATGAGAAGTAAGCCAGGGAGCTGTTTCATTCTGAAGGAGTCCTCCAGGAACAGGAGGAAGCAACTGACAGCACTGACGAGATGCTCTCCACAATTCCTTCTGAGTGTTAGTCTATGAAGAAGCGGGAGGGATATAAGCTAACAGAACAACTCAGACAGAATTCATTAATAAAAACATCAAAGTAGAAAACAAGTTAAGATAAGAGGTTAGAATACATGTAAACTTCTTTGCCCTAATAGAGAATTAAATCCTCATTGATAGAAGTATGTCCTGACCACCAATATGACAGTACCCTGAAAGTTAATAGCTTTTTGAAAATCTAGCTAGTCAGGCAACTCTAAAATACAATACCGATTCGCCTAGTTAAAACAAGAAGGTGAAACATTATAGTTCAGAAAGAAAGTTTCAAAAATCCTTTAAATATATCTTTTTTTTTTTTTTTGGAGAGGATCTTGCTATAGGGTACGTGCGCTTGCCAGAAAGACAAAGACAGAAAGCAAGAAATCACCCCCCCGGGGGGGATGGCCACGCCACAATCCCCTCTTCTCCATTCTCCTCTCGGGACCTTGGGCATGCACACACACACGCCTGGCGTGAGTTTAAACCACCGGGTTCAGGACTCGAACCATGTTTAACGACATGGGAGTCCAGTGACATATCCATTACACCAACTGCTGGTCCCCCTCTAAATATATCTTAATCTTCAACACTGAGAGCCATCTCCACAGTAATACTAAATTTTCTTTCCCCCTACTTGATTCCTTAGTTGGAGGAGTCTGACCCAGTGGGGCCCCAGGATGTTTGAGCTTTCAACTTTTGAGCACAGCCTTGGTCAGCTCAGCATGTTGGCAAGGCCGCTGCTGTATGCCCCCCCCCCAACCTATGAGCAAAGCAACTTGAGAAACACATACATGTGCATGCATACCCCAAATTCTGCCAGGAATGGCAAAATGAAGGGGGAATAGTGGTGTGGCTATGCTTCTCTGGGGGTACCTTCTCCCTCTCCCTCTGTCTCTCTGTGACAAGTACAAGTGCTCGCTGGCATTAAAAAAAAAAAAAAAAAAAAAAAAACCTCTAGATTTTTCTACCTACTGTCCAGCCATGAGACATTATCTATCCTCTTTAAGCCTTAGTTTTCATTATAAGATGCAGATAATTACATCTATCCCACAATGCTAAGAGGATTATAAAATAACATACATAAAACATCTGTTCCAATGTTCTGTCAAATTAAATCCTTCTATAATATCTTCTATAAGATGAAGTCTAAATGACTTATCATGGCCCTATGTGACAGGGTCACTACCTAACTCTTCAGTCTCATTTCTCATGAGTCCTTCCTCACACTACACAGTCACAGTTTTCCTTGTTTGTTCTTGTATACACAACTTCTGCCTAAAAAGTCTAGCCCCCAATGTTTCATCCAATAAATGAACTCTTTAAGATCTCAACCTAGATTTTTGCTCTCTGAACATTATACAATTCTCTTTGTATTACACCTAATTCCCTATCTCTCACCCTACACCAAATTGTGAGTTTCCTGAAAATAGAACAAATGGGGGGAAAAAAAACCCGTAAGAAATCATGGAAATTCATCTTGGACATAAAACTTGATATTAAACAAATGTACAGAAAGGACCTAAAAGAAGGGATCATTCTGTTCTCAAACAAATTGAATGTAACTAATAGTCTACATACACATTTTACTTTTTCTTATTTTATTGCATCGGCTTGGTGAGGGTTTTGATGAGCCTAGCACTTGCACATTCTTTTTGGTGCTCTAGAGTGAATGTGGAAGAACAGGGATTTAGATATCTTGGAAAACATTTCAGTCCAAGACAGAAAAGGCCTGACAAGACAAACAAGCCATCTCTCTGGTAGGCAAGTTGGGCTACCGTGAACCTTCAGTTAAAACTTGAATGTAGCAAAGATGAATCACATATTGTCTTTTAGAGGGACACGTGATAACTCAAATTCCAATAAGGAAATAAAAGGGAGAGTTACCCTTAAAGAGTCTACCATGGGAACTACCCAATGAGTAATCAGAATAGAGGGGCCAACAGATGGCAGAGGTTAAGGCGGCTGGATCCCACATGGCCAACTGCCCAGTTTGGTTCTGGATGGGCGACTTGAAAAACACACAAGGTACGTGTGCATTTGTTAGCAAAAATTCCCAGAGGAGAATGGAGAAAGGACTGCAGCATGGCCACCCCCCTGGTGAGTGCTTTCACGTTTCCTCTCTCTCTCTCTCTCTGTCCCTCAAGTACAGGTGACCTACCACAAAATGTATTTTTAGAAAAAGTTATAGAATATTAAGGATCTGGAAGTAGTTAGTATAATTAAGGTGATTGATGACTCAATATTTTAAAAGAAACACATTCATGAATACCAAAGCTATACCAGCTCTCCCGCCAAGGGGAAAAAAAAAGAAATGTGACCTGCAAGGTTAACAGTCTTAAAATTCTACAAACACAAGGCAGGCGGATTTCCTTGTCCGAAAAAGTTATTACAAACAGCTCATTTACTCTTGTCAATAAACCAAGTCATATTCCTTTCTGAAATCCGAGATGTCAGATTTATCGCACGCATACCAAGCCCACATTTTTTTTTTTTTTTTTTTTGCTCTTCAATTATTAGAAAAAGATGTTTCAAAGCGGGGGCGGGGAATCTACTCTCGATTAAAAAAAAAAAAATCCGCCAAAGGGCAGGGCTATCTGGACGTGGGCAGCACCGCTCCTGTTCTGGACAACGCTCTGATGCCTGCGAGACAGGTTCAAGCAGGGTCGACCTTGTTTGGGCTCTTTCCGGCGCAGCCAAGGCTCGAGAAAGAGAGGCATCTTAGGGGAGCTGACCCCGGGGAAGCCGTGCGAGAGGGGAGTGATGTCAGCTCTAAAATGCGTGAGGTTCATTAAAAGGATCAACGGAGGGGTAGAGGCGGCAGCAGCGTCGAGGGACGGACGGGTCGGGCGAGGATGTCGCCGACGGTCACGACGGCCAGGCTGTCACGGGGCGGCCTCCCCCCTCCCGGCCTCGGGCCCCAGTCACTCACATGCGAGGCCCGCGCCCCCTCGGGCTCCTCCCGCCTCGCGGACAGCTGCCGCCGGGCGAGGAGGATGGGCCGACACTTCCTGCTTCCGGGAGGGAAACCCGGAAGCAACTTGCACAACTCAGGGGAGACCTCGCGCCTTAGGGTAGCTCCTCCTTCCGGCTCCGCGCTTCCACCGCAAACAGAACGCACGACGTCGGGGCGCGCCGGGGCGTTCTCGCGAGATCTGGAGAACACGCGTTATAGCTCCCCCTGGCGTATGTCTCTCGTTTAGCTCTTCTTTTCTCTGGGAGATGCAGACTTTATCTGAACAGATTCATTCAACAAGGGTTTATTTATTTATTTACTTATTTTTTATTATTATTTCTTAGAGAGAGATTTTTGCTGTAGGGCAAATGCGCTTGCCAGAGAAACAGAGGCAGAAAGCGAGAAATTACCCCCAGAGGGTTGACCACACTGCAGTCCTTTCCAGTCTCTTCTCGGGATTTTGGGTACGGCGTGAGTTTTAAGCCACAGGGTCCCGGGACACAAATGGAGGTCAAGTACTTGGGAGTCCAGCCAGGTCACCTTCGCGCCATCTGCTGGTCCCACAACAAGCGTTTATTGAGTCCCCCACCACGTGCCAGGCAGTATATTAGGCATTAAGCGACAGGGGCTCCTAGTTTGAAAGACAAGCAAATAACTCAGATTTATACTCTGCCAACTCAGTTTTATTGAGCACTTATTCTGTTGCAGACGTTACGAAGCACTTTGCACTTGCGAAACCACTTCTGCAATCCCATGACATAAATAGCTCACATTTGCCTTCATACTAACCAACTGAGGTTTATAGAGAAGTTAACTTGCTCGGATAATGGCGACACGGAGTGGTGGGGACCATGATTTGAACCCGGATTTCTCTTCTTCCTGTAATAACAACTCTTAACCACTTTCTACAAGAGTTATACAAACAAAGTACTCTTGGGTTCAGACAAAGAATAATACAGCTACAAAGGCAGTGTGGTCGTGATGCAAAGGGAGGGAAACTAGTAAAACAGTCCCAAAACAGAACCACATACACAGTATGGCAAAGAGGTGCAACAGAAGCGTGAGGAAAGGGTAATGCTTTCAACGAATGGTGCTGGGTCAATTGTGTATCCATAAGGAAGAAGATGAAACTTGACTCTTCACACCAACATAAATTCTAGAAGCATTGTAGATCTACTTAAAAAAAAGACTTTAAAACTTCTCCGTCTAAAACAGGTGCCAAGTGATTCCTGGGCACTTGAAATGTGGCTAGGCAGAATTCAGATGCTCTGTAAGGGATAAAATTGATACACTGGAAATGCATTAAAATTAGGAACTTCTGGGAACTAGCAGATGGTGTAATGGTTATGTTGCTGGACTCCCAAGCAGTTGACTGCAACTGCGGTTTGAGTTTCAGACCCAGTGGCTTAAAACTCATACCAGGTGCATGCGCATGCTTGCCCAAAATTCTGAGAGAAAGGATTGTGGCATGGCCATCCCCTTGGGGTGGGGGTCATAATTTCTCGCTTTCTGTATCTCTCTGGCAAGAGCCTACACCCTGTAACAAAACTCTCTTAAAAAAAATTGGAGAGCCAATGCACAGTGTATTTTGGATGGAAAATTCATATGTGTGTTGTGATGAGAAAAAAAATTTATAATAAAAAACAAATTATAAAAAAAAAAAAAAAAAAGGAGAGAGAAGAGGATGGAGTCAGATGGATAGTGATATTACATGACTTTAGAGTGGAGGGACATTTAAAGCAGTAACCATGTGAGCTGAAAGTGGCTTCAATAAATAAAGAGTCAAATGCAGGTTGGGCAAGGATGAGGTTTTTGGTAAACAAGAATAAGAATGGATCCAATCTTGGAGAGAGTACCCAAGTTCCCACTTCATCTCAATGGCAGAATAACTTATTCCCATTAAGTTGTGTTGCAAAATACCTTGGGTGCTCCCTGCATGTTTTATACAGAAAGCAGTCTGGTGATAGCTCTGACCCAGAATTTTTTTTTTTTTACCTAAATTAGGAGAATCCAAGATGTTGAGACTTTATGAAATCTAGTTCTTCTTCAGTGATCTTAGAGGAGGTGTCAGTCCTACTGTTGCACCATCAGGAATTGTTAAGTCTAATAATGTAGTCAACAACATCCCTTGGATCAGGAACATTTTGAGACTATGAAGTTCAGTTATAGGTGGGGGTAGGAGTACCAATTATTTTTGGTGTCCTTGATCCAGACAAGGGGAACTGATCTTGACAGGTGTCTAGGCAGACTAAAATCAGGTCTTCTCCCTCATTATTGGTCAAAATTATGTTCTGAAGTTATGAAGGTACAATACAAAATTTCAAGAGAGGGTGTTTTCTCCTTTTCTTTTTTTTTTTTTTTTGAGAGTTGTTTTCTTGCTATAGGGCGCGTGCGCTCTCCAGACAGACAGAGAGAAACAGAGAGACAGAAAGCGAGAAATCACCCCCCCCAGCGGAGATGGCCGCGCCACAATCCCTTCTCCATTCTCCTCCCAGGATCTTGGGCACACACGCACACGCGCCCGGCATGAGTTTAAGCCACCGGGTCCGGGCAAACTGCGGTCGACTACGTGAGAGTCCAGTGACATAGCCATTACGCTAACTGCTGGTCCCGATTTCTCACTTTCTGTCTCTCTGGCAAGTGCACACGCCCTATAGCAAAAATCTCTAAAAAAAAAAAAAAAATATGTAGGGCCAGTCCGTGGCCTGGTGGTTAAGGCAGCTAGATCACACATAACTGACTGCACTGTTCAAGTCTCAGGTCCCGTGGCTTGACAGTATGCTGGATGTGTTGTGTGCCCCAAATCCTAAAAGTAGAGAGAAATAAAGAAGAAGGGATCGTGGCATGACGACAGCCCATGGGGCATGCTTTCTCATTCGCTCTCTGGTGAGTGCACATACTCTCTGGCTTTTTTTTTTTTTTTTTTTTTTTTAGGTTTTTGCCATAGGGCAAGTGTGCTCACTGGGGAGAGATAGAGAGGAAAATCATCCTCCAGGGAGATGGCCACAACACAGTCCCTTCTCCTCCATCCTCTTCCTGGGATTCTGAGCGCCTGCACACACACCTGGCATGTGTTTCAAGTTGCCAGCTCTGGGACTCAATCCAGCAGTCAGCCATGTGGGATCTAGTGTCTTAACCACCAGGCCACCTGCAGGCGACTTGAAGAACAAGTTGGTAAATTTTTAAGAAATAGAATATATAAATACATTGTGCAACAGAATAACACACCGCATGGAGAAATGGAAAACAGCCACCACATATAATAACATGGATATATCTTTTAAAAGAAAAATTTGCCAGCAGGTACATGTGCTTTCCAGAGAGAGACAGAGAGATAGAGAGGAAGCAGAGAAAGTACCACCCATGCACGTACACTTGGCCCAGTGGGTTTTTCAAGCTGCTGGGCCTGGGATTTGAACCAGGTGCTTGGCCATATGGGGTCCAGTTCCTTTATCCACCTGGCCATGGGGCCAATATGGATATATCTCAGCAACATAATGTCAAACAAAAGAAGTTAGGTATGGGGCCAGCAGGTGGTGTGGTGGTTAAAGGTGCTAGACTCCCACATGGCCAACCACGATTTGCGTCCTGGACGTGGCGGCTTGCTTTCTCACTTTCCTTTTATCTCTCTCTCGCTGTCTCTCTCTGGTCAACTTTAAATAAATAAATAAATAAATAAATAAACTAAAATAATTCTTTAAAAATAATTATTTATTTAAGTATTTATCATTATCATCATTATTATTTTCCAGTTTAATCAGAGAGAGAGTGTTAGAAAGCAAGCTTCCAGGTCCGGGACTCAAACCATGATCAGCCATGTGGGAGTCCAGCGCCTTTAACCACCATGCCACCGGCCAGCCCCAATATTCTTCTAAAAAAAAAAGTTAGGTACAAGAAATACATACTTTATGACTCCATTTATACATAGTTAAAAAACAGGGAACCCCAATCTATGATATTTGAAGGCAGAAAGTGTTACCTGTGGAGAAGAAAGAGATGTGCTGATTGGTGGAGGGGCCTCTGAGGAGCTGGAAACATTTCATTTCTTGACAGGACAGTAGTTACACAGGGGGGTTTACTTTGTTCACTGAACTGCCACACTTAGGATCTGTCCAGTTTGGGGGCCAACAGGTAGCATAATGGTTAAGGCACCGGACTCCCACATGGCCAACAGAGGTTTGAGTCCCAGACCCAGTGGCTTGAAACTCACACTGGGCCATGCACGCCCTAAACCCCGAGAAGAGAACAGAGAAGAGATTGCAATGGCCATCCTCCCCGAGGGATGTCTCATTTTCTCTCTCTCTCTGGCACATGAGAGAAAAAACATTCTGTCCACTTTTGTTGGATATATGTTATACTTTACATTTTCACTTAGAAAAAAAAAAAAAAGTGCTCCGTGGAGTCCAGAGGCTCTAGAAAGCCATGTCTTCTTGGCCTTTCTTTTCAGTCTCCATTCCACAGCCTGAGTGATGCTGACAACGTACAAACCCCGATTCTGCCACGTACAGCTCCCGATTGCCCTCAGAATCAAGTCCCGGAACCTTCATGACTCTTACCTCTCTTCTCCTTTATGCTCAGCTCTAGGATAGCCCAAGAAACACTGGCTTTTCAAACCCCTTCTACCAAGAGGAGAAACCCCTCCTGGGTTCTGGTTAAGTCCAATTTATTTTCTGGCTCTCAACTCAGGTTATTGCTCCAGAGAAAACTTCTGACTGCCCCAAGCTGCTGTGGAGCAGCCAGAGCTCAGGAAACACCTTGTCCTTCTTTGGAGAGGTTTTTTTTTTTTTGGCGCTTGCCAGAGACAGAAAATGAGAAGTCACCCCCCCCAGGGGGGGTGGCCACGGTCTCCTCCATTCTCCTCTCGGGATCTTGGGCATGCATGCACATGCGTCCGGCTTGAGTTTAAGTCACCGGGTCCGGGACTCGAACCGCGGTTGACTACATGGGAGTCCAGTGACATAGCCATTACGCTAACTGCTGGTCCCACTGTGTCCTTTATCACAGCTCTCATTCTGCTCTCCTGTGGCTGCTGTGTGCTTAATTGTCCATTTCCCCTAGAACGTGAATTTCCTTAGAGCAGGGCACGGGGTGTGACACTCATTTCCATCTCCTCACTGCGCAGCGGCTGGCAGGTGCTCCAGAAGACGCAGGGATAAAGTGGTCTTGTCGGTGGCCTCCCAGTATTCAGACACTGGGGCCTGGAAGGGACATCTCAGGCACACAGCACAGGAGGGAGATGATTCAGAGAGAGAGGAGGAGGAGAGCCACACTTCCCCTGCTTACACTTCCTCATCTCACCCACTCCACAAAGCAATCTTGAAAGTCAGAAGTATTATTCTCATCTTTCAGCTGTAAAGACTGAGACTCCACAGTTAAATGACTTATTTGTCTATAGCCACACAGCAACTGAGCCTCCGGACTCTAAAAACAAGGAGTGTAGGGAGGGAAGAGAAGGAACCCAGCAAGGCAGCTCTGAAGTAATTGTGGTGATTTGTGAAGCAGCTAGGGGAGTGGAAAGGAAGAAATACAATTTGGGAATATCTGGAGAAAACAAATGACAGGTGTTAGTAATGAGTCACTTTTTTTTTTTTTTTTTGAAGAGGTTTTTTGCTATAGGATGCGTGCACTCGCCAGACAGACAAAGACAGACAGAAAGCGAGAAATCCCCCCCCATGGGGGATGGCCACGCCACAATCCCTTCTCCTCCATTCTCCTCTCGGGATCTTGGGCACGCATGCACACACACCCGGCGTGAGTTTAAGCCACCGGGTCCGGGGCTCGAACCACAGTCGACTACGTGGGCATCCAGCAACATAGCCATTACGCCAACTGCTGGTCCCAAGTGATGAGTCACTTCTTTAGAGTGGAGGGAAAGGAGGTAATTCTCAGGTACCCAGGCTGAAAATGTTTCTGTGAAAGTGCATAATTTTAAACTCTTATTTATTTATTGGTAGAGGTTTTCGCCTTAGGATGTGTGTGCTCACCAGAGAAACAGGGAGAGCGTGAGAGAGAGTGAAATGGATAGTGAGACATCATCGCCAAGAGGGATGGCCATGCTGCAATCCCTTCTCCTCCATTCTCCTCTGGGATCTTGGGAACGCACATACACCTGCCCTGCATGAATTTCAAGCCACCAGGCCCAGGACTTGAATTGTGGTTGGCCATGTGGGAGTCCAGCAACGTAACCTCTACATCACTTGCTGGCCCCCATAATTTTATTTTTAGTAAAGGACATTTGTTCAGAGGACACAGTAAGCTTAGATGCAGAATAAGTTAGGTGGATACAAGCTACTTAGACTTTAAGGTGAACTATCAGTTATAACTCAGAAAAGGAATCTAGACCTCCTTGTCAACCCCTTTGTTGAATGCTATCTTGGGGACAAAGAGGCCAACAATAACAAAAGCCTCTTGAGAAAGGACTTTGGAATGAGATAGCAAAATACTGCCTTACTCTTCTATAAGACGCCAATGCACCCTCACTGTGGCCTTCCCCCCAAGACATACAGTAAGACCTATGGAAGTGCAGAGAAAGGCAACTTAAAAAACAATAGATGAAACAGATCAATGATTGACTTTTTTTTTCCTAATCTTTTTTTTTTTTGAGAGGTTTTTGCTATAGGGCGCTTATGCTTGCCAGAAAGACAGAGAGAGGCAGAGAGACAGAAAGCAAGAAATTGCGCAATCCCTTCTCCTCCATTCTCCTCTCGGGATCTTGGGCACACACACACATGCACCCGGTGTGACTTTATGTCACCAGGTCTGGGACTCGAACCGCAGTCAACTACATGGGAGTCCAGCGACATAGCCATTACGCCAACTGGTGGTCCCCAATGATTAGTTTTTAAAACATTCAGCTCAAGGGTCACAGGTGGGCATGAATATAAGACACTGGAGGAGTAAAATTAGTTACAGTTTACATTAGCACAGTGCTCACCAGTTTAGAATATAGTTTCCTGTCCATTGTTCATTCAACAGACCCTGAGCACCTTGTCCTCAGTACTGTACAGCGCAAGAAGGGTGCAAAGGTGGAGGCCTAGCTTCTCTTGCAAGGAGCTCAGCATCTTTTTTATTTTTATAACCGACACACCCTTATTCTCACTTGACAATTAAGGACACTAGGGTTAAAGTATGGTTAAGAGCACACCAGCTGTGGTCCTTGAAGCAAGCTATTTCATCGCTGTAAGGCTATTTCCGCAAAGTGAAAAGGATTAAGCAGAAGAAGCCAGGTACAAAAAAGTACATACTTACAACAGAAGTATGTAGTCTAAAGGAAACCTTGTGGTTTTGTTTTGGGTTTTTGCCATGGGGCACATGCACTTGCCAGGAGAGGGAAAGTGAGAACTCATCCCCTTTTCCCGGGGAATAGCCACAGTAATCCCTTCTTTCCATTTTCCTCCTGGATTTTGGGCATGCACCCACACGTCTGGCATGAATTTTCAAAGCCACCGAGTCTGGGATTCAAACCACAGTAGACCATGTGGGAGTCCAGCGCCTTAATCACCAGGACACCTGCTTGCTCCCTTTGTGGGGTTAAGATACACAACAAATGGCTTAGCTTGATGTCTGACACTTCATTCAGCCATCTTTTTCTCTTGCGGATTTACTTATTTAATTTTATTTGTTATTTTATTATTTATCTTTTCATTTGACCAGAGGGAGAGAGAGAGAGAGAGAGAGAAAGAGAGAGAAAGTGAGAAAGCAAGCAGCCAGGTCTGGGGCTCAAAACCCAGTCGGTCATGTGGGAGTCCAGCGCCCCCATCTGTCCGCCCCTCAGCCATCATCTTTAAATGGTTACTAGGCAATGGTAACTATTAAATGGAATTTCCAATCGTTATCACAAAACTCCACTTCAACTTCTTTGCAGCTCCTTTCCATTGCTTCTCCTTTTTGACTCTGAGATAACTCTACTACTAACCTCTTGGGGACAAGATACCCCAGCCAGTCATACGCCTTGTTGTTGCTCTGATCTGCATCATTCTGTCTCACTTTCCTTATCTCTTGTTTTCTTCCAGACCTTTCCTTTTCTTCCCTCCCCAGCCTTTTTTTTTTTTTTTTCAAGTCTGGAGGCGTGGAGTTGCTGTCCGACTATAGACAAGTAAGTAATTTACCTGTTAACTCTCCATCTTCACATCTGAAAATCGAGGATACTACCTACTTTACAAGATTGCTTTGTGGAGTAGATAAGAAAGTGGAAGCTTCTAAGTTACTGGTATCGCTAAGCCTTATTCCCTTTCGTCCTCTTCTTCCCCTTCCGGTCCCTGCCCAATTGTAGGACTAAGAAATTCTTCTAATTGGAGAATGACGGCCCTAGCTCCAATCATATTAAAGCCTTGCTGGGTGTTCCCGCCTTCCATGTCTAAACGAACCAATCAGATCGTCCGGAGGATGGCGCGGTCTCACCACTTGGGGGCTTCTTCTCCTGGGGCTTTCACTTTCCCCATCCTTGGGCCCAGCCTCTTCTCCCCTTGCATCTCCGTTCCCCTCCTTGGAAGAAAAGTCCCTCATCTTGCTTGTCTCAGACCCGTAAATCCTGGCGTCGAAAGGATTGGACGAAGGGGACCGGAAGTGTGCGCGGCAGCGGCGGGTCCGCAGGGAACCGACGCCGGAAGTAGCGATTTCTGGAGGATTCCGCTGCTTTCGCGATGGCGGCAATTCCCCCGGACTCTTGGCAGCCGCCCAACGTTTACCTGGAGACCAGGTGAGGGGGTCGGGCCTCTGGGGCTGGGCCCGCGGAGGCAGTGCGGAGCCCGGGCCTTGCGGCGGGGCTCAGTTGCCGGGGCGCTCCTCCCAATGGCCTCCTCGGGGAGGGGCTTGGAGCAGCGGCGGGAGGACCCCCGAGGGCTGAAAGAGGACAGAGCCCGCCTGCGTCCTCGCTCAGCACTGACTCGCCAGAGAGCGCTGCTGCCGCTGTCTGATTACCCTCCTCTGTCCACTCGTTCGTTCATTCATTCAGCATGTACTGAGTCCGCGAGCCAGGGCTTAGGACCTGGACTCGAGGATACATAGGTGGACAGAACACGATACAGCCCTGCCATTAGGAGCTTACGGGATCGTGAAGGAGGCATACGTTACATAGCATGTGATAAGTAGTACATCGTTTAAACAAATGACTATAGAAAATGCAGGAATAAGCACGTTTCCCCTCAGTATCAGAGTGATAGGATAATGACATAATGAAGCATCGCACTGCCACTGCCATGCCCCTGATCTGTGCCATCCCATTTAGTTTAATCCTCCTGGCAACTCAGATCATGTATTATTTCACCACCTCCTCTCGGATTATAGCGGGGGAATTTGGGAGCCTGGTCTGCCTGCCTCAGGAGCTAGGTCCTTTTTTGCCTCATTCATGCCATTGTCTCTTTGGAAAAAGCTCAAAGTGATCATTCCGAAGTGGGACGAGGGATCCTGCTCACAAACCTTGAATAACTTATTGCTGCTGTAACAGTATAAAGTTTAAACTTAGTGTGGCACATAAGGTGGCTTGTTTTCCGTGAAGCTCAAGCCGACCTGCGATTCCCCTCTGCGCAGCCAGGGGCCAGCCAAGGTCCTTCTGTTCTTAACTCCTGCAGCGTTCCACCAGAGCAGAGTTCTCTTAGGCCCCTCTCAATTATTTGCTCATATTCATCTTTCTCCATCGTCCTCACCTTCTTATATGGAAAAGTCCTGCCTCTTCAGGTCCCCATCTGTAATTTCTGAGCTCCCTTGTTAATTTTTTATTTTTTTTAATTACAAAATAAATTTGAAATTTAAATCCAAGCAGGATAGCGATGGATAGAGTAAAAAATAAAAACCAGCACCTCTCTGAAAATCCTATTAATTGTTCAGTTGATAAAGGTCTAGATCTTTTTCTATGAACATTTAAAAACATTTCTGTTTTCTGTTTTATTTTTTGACAAAAATGGGATCATATGATGTGTAAATTTATTTTTTCTATGATTTAATTTTCTTTCATTCAGTAATACATGTCGCTGCTCATAATATAGATTGTTGATATTTTAGTTATTCTTTTTTTTTTTGGAGAGGTTTTCGCTATAGGGCACGTGTGCTCACCAGAGAGACATAGAGACAGAAAGCGAGAAATCACCCCCAGGGGGGATGGCCACGCCGCAATCCCTTCTCTTCCATTCTCTCTCGGGATCTTGGGCACGCATGCACACGCGCCCGGCGTGAGTTTTAAGCCACCGGATCTGGGACGCGAACTGCGGTCGACTACATGGGAGTCCAGCGACATAGCCATTACGCTAACTGCTGGTTCCCCTTCCTTTCTTCTTAAATACTTTTTGCTTGTTTGTTTTTGTTAATTTGTAGAGGGCATGTGTACTTTATCAGAGGGAGATGGGGGGGAGAGAGAGAGAGAGAGAAAGCAAGCACTCCCCTCCATAAGATACAGCTATCCCTTTTCCTTTTGGAATTTGGTTATATTGGTTTTAGATGATCAGTGACTTACTTTTATGTATAGAATATTCCAATTTTGAGTTGTCCATAGTCTTTGTGCTTTAAAAAAGTACCAGAAAGTGTTGGCAGGTGGCATGGTGGTTGGGGTGCTGGACTACTACATGGCTGATTGGAGTTCGAGTCCCAGACCTGGTGGCTTGCTTTTTCACTTCCCCCTTTCTCTCTGTCTCTCTCTGGTCAAAATTAAACAAATCAGCAGTTAGCGTAATGGCTATGTCGCTGGACTCCCACGTAGTCGACCGCGGTTCGCATCCTGGACCCGGTGACTTAAAACTCACGCCGGGCGCGTGTGCGTGCGTGCCCAAGATCCCGAGAGGAGAAGGGATTGCGGCGTGACCATCCCCCCTAGGGGGTGATTTCTCGCTTTCTGTCTCTAATGTCTCTCTCTGTCTGTCTGGCAAACACACGCGCCCTATAGTGAAAATCTCTCAAAAAAAAAAAATTAAGCAAATCAAAATAAAAGAGAGAGAGAAATGAATAAAATTAAATAAAATCATTCTTTGGGGAAAAAATAACATGCCAGAGCCCCTTCATGTTTTACTCAAAGGAGGTAACCTGTGTTTATGTGACTTGCATTGTGTTGTTTTTCTTTGCTGAGCATGAAATCTAATGGTTATCACAGTTTCGTGACTCTCAAGGTGGAAGTCGGGAATCCTAGAGCAGTCCCATAATTTTCCTGTCTGCGTGACCTGTTTGTAATGAGCTGTGCCGTCCTTCCCTGCAGCATGGGGATCATCGTGCTGGAGCTGTACTGGAAGCATGCTCCAAAGACCTGTAAGAACTTCGCCGAGTTGGCTCGTCGGGGCTACTACAACGGCACCAAATTCCACAGAATCATCAAGGACTTCATGATCCAGGGAGGTGACCCAACAGGGACAGGTACAGTGAAGCCGATGTAATTTCTGAAGTCCGACTCTATCCTAAGTGGGTGACAAGGCAGCCAGAGCTTTCTTTTCCACTTTTCAAGAATTGGGTTGGTCAGTTCTGGCCACTATTCCTGCCTTCCCTAAACACACATATGTGAAGTTGACCAGGAACCAGACTCGACTCCTGACCTTGAGAGAACTTTTTAGAACTGTTATGTATTGCTCGCTAAGAGCAAATGACACTTGCCTGAGTTGTAGTCTGATCAATTGAAGGTAAAGGTATCATTTGTAATGTTTTGGGATGAATGAAATGTTGGGTTCTTCTCATCCTGAAATTTCTAATTTCATGTGTCGGATTTCATTTTTTTTTTTTTTTAAAGAGATTTTTGCTGTGGGGTATATGTGCTCACTGGAGACAGAGGGAGAAAGTGAGAAATCACCCTTCCGGGGGGGATGACCATACTGCAATCCCTTCTCTGTTCTCATCTCAGGATCTTGGGCACAAACACGCTTGTCCGTTTCAAGTTTCTGGGTCCAGGATTCAAACCATGGTCAGCCACCTGACCCACTATGCCACCTGCTGGCCCCACCAATGTCTGCTTTTTTGTAGACATACCTTCTTTACCATATTAGGAAGAATGCCCAACTTCTTAATCCTTCTATTTAGAAAATGGGCATTTGGGGACAGACTTTCTTTTAACTGTGTCAGCCTGAACTTTTTCTGTGCACGTGTTAGTTCCTCTATTTGCTAGATCCCCTATCTGTCTTTCTTAGTAGGTTTGAGAGACTGAATATGCAAATGGGCAATGGCCAGACCATAAAACAAAACATAAGACAAAAACAGAACTCTGACTCATCACCTGCAGCAACCAGCTCTGGAAACCAATCTGCTATCTATAGTAACCAGCCTCGGAAGCCACCTACTATCTAGAAGTCAGCCCATTAGCTCTAGCGACTAGTACAGAAGCCAGACAATAGTCCCCAGGGGCCAGCAGGTGGCATGGTGGTTAAGAAGCCTGGAGTCCCATATGGCCGATCATGGTTTGAGTCCCAGAATCGGTGACTTGAAAATCACACTAGGAGTGTGTGCACGCATGTCCAAAATCCTGAGACCAGAATGGAGGAGAAGGGCTTGCAGCATGGCCACCTCCCCTGGTGGGTGATTTCTCACTTTACTTCTCTCTGTGTCTCTCTGGTGGATGCCCATACCCTACAGCAAAAAATCCTAAATAATAATAGCCTCCAAGCATCTAAAACTTGATTACTATTTGACACTGTCCGTAATTTGACACTGGTCCTTGCTTCCAACTTGAGATCCACCAGAGAAGGCCAAATATGTGCCCCTAAATAATCCCATGGGACGGCCCGGTTCTGGTTAGTCACCTGTGATGTCCCCATGCCAACAGCCTCCAGTCACGGCATACCTTCTTCCTTTTTTCCACTCTAAAGCTTTCCTATTTCTCTGCTTGATTTTGATTCTCTGCCAAAATACAGCTGATAGCGACTGACTCCCTCGATAAAGAAGCCGTGAATAAATAGCCTTTGCTTTGATTCGTTCATTTAATACATATTGAGCACCTGCTTTGTGTCAGATACTTTTCTAAACTACAGGTAAAGCTGGGGACTAAGAAACGTAATTCCCGCTCTCTATAAAGCAGGAGAAGGGCTGTGGGAGGCAATTTTAGCAGGGAGTTCAGGGAAGTCCTCTCTCGAGGCGCTGTCGGAGTGGAGATCTGAGTGAAGTAAGAGAGGGATCTTGTGGCTGGAGGGAAAGCGTTCTGTGTGAGGGAGAGTAAGCACAGAGCCCTGAGCAGGAGCCTATGCAGGAGGTCACATAGTACCTTGCAGGGCATGGTTGGGACTTTGAGTTTTATTCTCAGTAAGACGGGAACAAGGAAAGTTTCGAGCAAGGGAGTGACATGATCTCTAACCCATGCTTTAAAAAGATCACTGGCTGTTGTTTGGAGAAAAGGTGTGGGGCAGGAGTAGGGGTCAGGGGTCAGCTAGGAGGATGCAGTAGTCATCCGGTCTAAAAATATGTGGGCGGACGAGGCAAATAATTTGGTAGTGAGAAGTGTCTGGATTTGGATGTATTTTGATGAAGATAGAGCTGATTGGATGGGGCGGTGAGAGAGGAAGGCACTTGAAGAGGATTTTTTTTTTTTTTTGGAGAGGTTTTTACTATAGGGCGCGTGCTCTTACCAGACAGAGAGAGAGAGACAGAAAACAAGAAATCACCCCCCTTGGGGGATGGCCACGCCGCAATCCCTTCTCCATTCTCTTCTCGGGATCCTGGGTGTGCGCCCGGCGTGAATTTTAAGCCACTGGGTCCGGGACGTGAACCGCGGTCGACTACATGGGAGTTCAGTGACATAGCCATTACGCTAACTGCTGGTCTCAAGAGGACTTCTAGATTTTTGACCTAAACTTACTGAGATGGAAAAGGCTGAGAGGGGAACATATTATGTTTGAAATACTTAAAGGTCTTCACACAGTTGTGTTGAAGAAGTAGTTGAATATAAATACGGAGTTGAAGGTCTGGGGTGGAGATGCGCGTTTGGGAATTGCTGGCACGTAGATGGGATTGATGAGGGAAACTGGCGGGAAACTTCACTGTTTCAGTGGTCCTTGCTTCTCAGTCTGACTCTGACCTCATCCTGCTCTTTTGCCTTTACACAAGCTCGGCTCTCTCTGTGGCAGTCTTCTCAGTCTCGTTTTCCTTTTCATTTGCAGTTGGTTTGTTTATCCGCCGTGACCAGAAGCATTCCATTTGTATACTGACAAATTTCAAAATACAGAGTATACAGAAAAGTAGACAAAAGGAGGGGGAGGGAATCACTCAGAAGCGTAGTTACTAAAGATATCTAACCACCATTAGCTGATCCCTCAATAGTGGCATAGTGGTTATGGTGCGAGACTCGCACATGACCAACCGTAGCTCAAGTCCCAGACCCAGCAGCTTGAAAATCACACCAGGCGTGTGTGCATGCGTGGCTGAAATCCCAGGAGAAGGGATTATGGTGTGGCCATCCTCCCAGGGTGATTTCTTACTTCGCTCTCACTGTATGTCGTCTTTCTCTGTTGAGTATACACGCCCTATGGCAGAAACCTTTAAAAGAAAGAAAAAAAGAAAGGAAGGAAGAAAGAAATGGGCATTGTTAATTCTAGGTGCCATTATTCTAGACAACTTTTCAGATAGCTGGTTAAAAGGATGGATGGATAACTAACTAAATGGAAATAATTTCAAGAAAGTGAAATATGTATGCTATTATTTTTAAACAAAAATTTGATTATATTTAATGTTGTATGTATTTAACAGCAAAATCCATTTCTTGCTATGAAAGAGGCCATCGGTACTAAAATTTCCACCATTCTAATCTTCCCTACCTCCTCGTTTTTGTAGTTACTGGTATTATTTTCCGGCCTGCACTCATAATCCCTTCAGCTGCAGTGTGGGTTCTGCACTTCAGAGGTTTCAGTGCTACCACTCCGCTTTTATCTTCACGATGCTGGAGGGCAGGAGTTCTGTTCTGGTCTTTTTTCCTTCCCTTTTTTAAAATTTTTTTTGCTAGAGGGTATGAGTACTTGTTAGAAAGAGAGACAGGAAAAAGCATCCCCCTCACCCTGCGGGATGTCATGCTGCAGTCCCTTTTCTTTCTCTCTCTTTCCCCCTTTCGAGATTTTGGGCACTTTCACACATACCCGACATGTTTCTCAAGCTACTGGTCCAGGACTTGAACTGCATGGTTGGCCATGCGAGATCTGGCTTCCTTAATCCCCGGGCCACCACTGGCCTTTATTTTTTAATTGTCAAAGGGTGTGTGCACTTACCACATAGAGAGCGCTCCTTAGGGGCATGGTCGCACCAGAGTTCCTTTTCCATTTTTCCATCCTGTTGGGATTTTGTGCTGCACTCAGGTACCTGTTCCCCGTGTTTTTCAGCCTACTGAGAATGGCATTTGAACTGTAGTCGGCCACGTGGCTTCCTTAACCACTAGGCTAGGGGACTTGTCCAGAGGGCAGGGTTTCTTGTTAAGTGATTTTACTGCAAGGGCTGGAGGGTGTTAGAATTTTGAATTCCTTCATGTTTGAGAATTTCTGCCTTTTGCCTTTATCCTTGAAAAAGATTGTGGCTGGGTACGCTTTTTTTGGGCCAGATCTTTATTATTGGACAATTATTATTTCAAATCTTTATTATTGGACAATTTTGATCCATTGCCTTCTGGGATTTCTTTATGTGTGTGAATGTCCATTGAGGCATTTTATTTGTGTGTGTGTATTACATTCCTAAAAAAAGAAAAGAATCTCAGGGAGCCAGCAGGTAGCGTGCTTGTTAAGGGCACTGGACTCCTACATGACCAACCATGGTTCAAGTCCCAGACCTGGAGGCTTTCTCTCTCTCCCCCTCTCTCTCTGTCCCTCTCTGGTCAAATTTAAATAAATTTTTTTAATTAAATAAAATAATTTTTTTTAAATGAAAAAGAATCTCAGGATTTCCCCTCCTGTATGTTTCCTCCTTCTTCATGGTCCCTAAGGCCAACCGAGGTTGTTTGTACAATGAAACCAAACTGATGGGGTGGGGGCAGATTATTCTGCTATATCTCTAGATATTATTTTTTAAAGCATTATTTAACTGTCTGGCGAGCGCACGTGCCCTATAGCAAAAACCTGTCAAAAAAAAGAATTATTTAATTTTAATGTTATTCATTGTCATTATTTTATTTTATTATTTATGTATCTATTTATTTATTTATTTTGGAGAGATTTTTGCTATAGGGTGCATGTGCTCGCCAGACAGAGAGAGAGACAGAAAGCAAGAAATCACCCCCCAGGGAGGATGGTCACGCCGCAGTCCCTTCTTCTCCATTCTCCTCTCAGGATCTTGGGCACGCACGCACACGCGCCTGACGTGAATTTTAAGCCACCAGGTCTGGGACGCGAACCGCGGTCAACTACGTGCGAGTCCAGCGACATAGCCATTATGCTAACTGCTAGTTCCCTATTTATTTATTT